CGAGATCCTGGGCGCCATCAAGATGAAGTGCTACCTGTCGGGCATGCCCGAGCTGCGCCTGGGGCTCAACGACAAGGTCATGTTTGAGACGACGGGGCGGACGACGCGCGGCAAGGCTATCGAGATGGAGGACGTCAAGTTCCACCAGTGCGTGCGCCTCTCCCGCTTCGAGAACGACCGCACCATCAGCTTCATCCCGCCCGACGGCGAGTTCGAGCTCATGTCGTACCGCCTCAACACCCAGGTCAAGCCGCTCATCTGGGTCGAGTGCGTCGTCGAGTCGCACAGCGGCTCGCGTATCGAGTACATGCTCAAGGCGAGGGCCCAGTTCAAGCGCCGCAGCACCGCAAACAACGTCGAGATCATCGTCCCCGTGCCCGACGACGCCGACACCCCTCGCTTCCGCACCAATGTCGGCTCGGTGCACTACGCACCCGAGCAGAGCGCCATCGTCTGGAAGATCAAGCAGTTTGGAGGCGGCAAGGAGTTCCTCATGCGCGCCGAGCTCGGATTGCCAAGCGTCCGGGGTGATGACGAGCACGGTGGCGGCATGACCGGCGGCTTTGGAGGCAGCATGGGCGGCATCGGGGCGCCTGGCAAGGGGGCCAAAAGGCCCATCCAGGTCAAGTTTGAAATTCCCTACTTCACCACGAGCGGGATCCAGGTGCGCTATTTGAAGATTACAGAGCCAAAGGTATGTTTATGTCGAGGCGCCCCCACCCCCGTCCGCCCCGCCTGTGCACCCCTTCTAATATGAGATTTGTCACAGCTCCAATACCCCTCGTTACCATGGGTTCGTTACATTACACAATCTGGCGACATTGCCGTCCGACTACCAGACGCGGTATGATCTGGCGGCCTGCGGGCGTTGTTGGTGTTGTTGATAGTGGGAGGGCAACCGGTTGAGCCGAGTTCGAGGAGGCCGTGGCCCCAACGGTCGGGTCCAGCCTCCGCCGTGGGGCGGCCATCGAGTTGCAGAGTTTGGAGACAACGAATGGTCTGTGTGGCGTATGGTGTAATGAGCGAGGCTAAGGCATGGCTTGACTAGAGCAGACACCAAGCACCAATGCTCTGATCTTTTTTTTACACAAAACATTTTCCGGGCAACGGGTTCTGTGGTTGTATCTGGTGCTAGAGTAGTGCGTATCTGGAAAATGACACAAGAAGAACGGAAGATATGACAACCAAAGTCCACCAAGCGCCGGTCTGCAAGTCATGAACGCTGATAAGGAATAGGAGATGGTTGTGGTGTTTACGACATGTTGGAGTGAGAAAAACAACGCTAAAACAGGGAGATCTAGGCCGGCCTTCGGGATCAAAAAGGAAGAAAGGCACCTTGGCTCGCGGAGAACAGGGTTGAAAATGATGGCAATGCAGGAGATGGAAGAACGAAACTGAAATAAAATGAATGAGGGATTGGTCGAGGGCTCAGCGGGCCGGATCAGCCCTGGACGAGGATGGTCCGATACTCGAGATCCTGCAGGGCTTGCTCCCAGACTTCCACGGGAATGTTATTCTCTTCGCAGTCTTCCTGGCCATCCACCAGGTTGTCGGCGCAGACTTGGACGAAGAGGCCGCGGGGGCTCTCGCCCGATTTAGGAACTTGTTCGTTAGCTGGGTACCGGCGACGTGTGGAAATCCGGGGGAAGGAAACACACGGTAACTCGAGGCCCTATTGGAACCAACCCATTGTCCCAAATTCCACTTTCGGTCTCGAAACACGTCACTCGCTCGGCCGGGTTTCCCATGGAAGCCCATCAGTGCGAGGATAATGGGCAGCTCACCGGAAAGACCGCGAGATGGTCCGGCAGAGGGCTTCGTGTTTCGGTAGACGCTGGGGACCAGAGACGGGACCCATGAGGGGTCTTTGCCTGCGACAAACGGGTCGCCCGAGGCGTATGAGTTGACGTACGAGATCTCTCCTCGGGAGTTATCGTCACCGCTGCCAAAGTGCAGATGAGACCAGGTCGAGCACCTCTCGTCGTCGTACATGTGGTTGCAGGAGCATATCCGGCGCGGGAACGTGTACCCCAGCGAGGCATCTCCGTCGGTAACGATCATGGGCAGAAGGGGCGAGCAGGCGAAAACAGTCTGGGCTCGGTATAGGACAGGGTATCCGTCGATGACATTAGCCTGGTTCACTCGGACAATGCGGCCTTCAAGGCCCATCGAGGGTCGGTGCCTGCCCATGCCTGTCAGCTGCTGGGATCTGGTCTGGCCTTGACCTTGCACAGTTATTCCGTACCAGAGGTACCCGTGAGCTGGAGAGATGACTCCATCCTGGTACCGGAACACCGTCCCTACCAACTCCCCTATGTATGCCCCTGCCTGCTGTGGGGGTATGGTGTTGAGCCACTGGTCAGTCAGGGGCCGGTCTTGTCCCGGCAACGGTTCATAATCGACTTGAAGCTCGTTGACGACAAAGAGAAAAGAGTACGTGATGGCCCCGATAGCGACAGGCCTCTGGATTCTAGCAGTTTTGGTGGCCTTCGGGTGGGTGGTGGTGTTGCGGCGGCTTCCGTGACTCGGCGCATGCTTGTGTGTCTTACCGCCGGTATGGCCAGAGACACCCACGAGCGCAGCAAACATGGCGAGTTAAGGCGGACGAATGATAGGACGGAAATGGTGGGACGACAGAGGCTCGGAAGTACGCAGACCGGTTATCTGGCAGTGGCGTTGGCCCCTGGTGTTCTACAGATCTATCACAAATGACAGAGATCAGCTGCAGATATAACATCTCACAAATCTCGAGACCGCGCGGTCTCGGCAAAGCAGCAGCCGAGGATGACATGAATGCCCAATCCATCTTGCCCTTCCGTTCCTTCATGATGCGTTGGGCAGAGACCAGCCGCGGGGGGGTCAGGTGGAATGACAATGACGAATTTTGGCGGATGTGGACTCTTCCCGACACGGATTTACGGATGTGAGGACACATGATTAGCTGGACGGATATGAAGAAACACGAAACATGGGGCCCTGATGGTCGTTTTGGCTGGGTTTGTGGGATTGGTTCGGCTCCCCAGGAGGTTTCGGCACTGTGCCTTGATCCGTCGTCGTCACCGGAGACCAACCATACTTGAGCATGGGTGGCAGTCCTGATTCCCTGGCTCCTCTGGTGGTTGGAGTTTGCAACCTGCGCCTGACGAAAAGTCCAGTGTTCGGCATCAAGTCGGGCTGGGCATCGGTGGCCAGAGCTGCTGACCAGTCCCAAGTTCTCACCACGGGATGGTGACTCGAACAAGCTCAGCCAGCCGTCACTGCAAGCCATCATGGCGCAGGTGGTTGGCCGATATCGCATGGCACACTCATGAGAGTGGCAGCACTTAGCGGTCCTCGCTATTAGTCGGAGACAGCTAACTAATAACAGTGCAGCATACCTTGCTTGCATTCGGGAATTTGGTACCACAAGGCCAGATAAGGACCTTCCTCCTTTCCGCCCCAATCTGCTGGGAGTCTTGGGTGACGAGAGGGGGGACGAGTCGGCGCCCAAGAATGGGCCATTTTCCAGGTAGCTCCAAGCAAAGGCGGGTTGGGGGGCTCCAGGGTTGCGATTCGACTCGCATAAAATAGTGCGGGTTGGTGTGTAACGCGAGAATCCTTGTTTCGACGAAGAGGTCCCTAGACAGATCTCAAGGATGGGAGGCGTTGAGCTTTATGGTGACACAGAAAGAGCGGGATATCAATGGTAATACACGGGTTGGCCCGGCTCGCCCGGCTCTCTTGACCCCGAGCACGGGGGTTCTACAGCCATCCCAGGCGAAGGTTAATGTGCATCTCTCCCTCGCGAATCGGGCAGGAAACCGCAGTTAGAACGGCGCTCTCTTCTCCTCCCGCTTCCCTGTAAGTTGCGTTGTGCTCTGACCTCTGGATTGCCAAATATGGAATCTCGTCTCGAGTCGAGGGCCCAGTAACGACTGGAGCTTGGGTTACACGAATGACGGAGCGTCACTTCTCCAGATTCTTGCGCGGGATGTCTCACACATGCGAGGAGGGCGGGCCCCTGGTATTGGATGCCAGTCTCAGCTCCTCCCTCGCCTGATCGCCAGAAGGTCACGGCACCTGCGCGGGTGTTTCAAGTTCAACCCTTGGGCACTCGGGTTTCGGTATGTCACGCATCCACGGCTGCAATGGATACATCAGCCAAGATACGTATAGTATCGGAATTCCCATCGCGGAAGTCCGGCCAGAAAATGCCTCGCCAGACAGGCTTCGTTGGCAGGGAAGAACAGAAATAGGGCTTGGTTGTGTAACTCCGTCAAGTTAGAATAGCGCACCCTCGCTGCCCAACGGAACGTACCTCAATAGCATGCTGCCATCCTCAGCCATGTGATGTGACAAACTGCGGCCGCTGACTGCCGAGGAAGGATTTCAGTGGCTGCTGTCGTGGAACGCTTGCCGCCCCCCGTGCTGGGACCGGAGAGCCCACAGTGTCCAGCACTGGATGCCACTACCCGACATCGGCTTGCGGACGAGTTGTATGGCCATTTTGTACGGTAACGAAAGGCAATGTGTCGAGGTTCGCTATCAAGGTTGTTTCGAGTCCGCCTCTGATATACGTGTCGGCTTCGGTCCATGGATACAACAGTCCTGCTGCAACCGAAGCTCAGGGGGCGCATGAGCGGTGCCCGGATCCAGTGGGGGGCGTAATTGGTCGAGGAGATCAGGAACTTGATAATCCTCAATTGGAGACCGGTGTGAGATTGTGGCAGGGAAGTGAGTGTAGACATCCACATGCAGGGTTAACTCTGTGCCAAACACGACGAAATCCTCAGGCGGTTGACCGAGACCTTGAATATTATCCTAAGTCGCCGATATCGAGGGAGAACCGCTTCTCCTCGTCGTGAATACTACCAGGTACTCAAGTTTGAGCATCAAGTCGGGAGAGATTGTTACAACATATGTGCAATCAAGCCACGTTCCTTCAATGAACCTCGCCCCTAACTCTCTAACTTCATGTTTGCAACGAGACGCAACACAACTTGAAGCAAAAAGGCAACGAGCTTCCATACCGGGGTTCGAACCCGGGTCGCCAGAATGTTCAACAGAGGATGAAAATCTGGAATGCTAAACCACTACACTATATGGAAGGAGCTGATTGTTGCTTGTTCCTGCTGCTAGTGTGAGTTATCTGTGCCGACCTTGGGATGGATGCTCTTGCCCTCACGCCGTACAAATATGGCCCTGTCGTCCTCTAACATCACACGAATCCATGTCATCCTCCTTCTGTTGCGGAATGCCAGAAGTTAACGAGAGGATGAACTTGTACTACTCAAGTTAACAACCTCCCCGCAAATGTCACGCAGCCATGGTAAAAGTAGGATATTTGCAAAACGGGAGGGAAACCTAGAAAATATAGGACCGACCAAGCCCGCAACGAAAGGATGCCAGCTTACTACCCAAGCGCCATTTACAAACTTCAAGATTATCTACTGGCCCTGCTCATTACACTTGAGCAACATTGGGACCATAAGTTCTGCCTAGGGGGCACAATGATCGGGTTCCGTCGAGACACATCGGGTCTAGTAATTGCCATTTGCCTGTCGATCCCCGCTCTGCAAGGTATCATTATACTCCTCAATGTATTTGGAGGGTTCCTCAAGCATAACACGTACCAATCACTTGGCATGTACAAACTGCCGAAGCAATACTCCTCTCCAATAATGGTGGCAATATCATGGAACGGCCAAAGCAATTACCCGTTGTCTACATTAGCCTTCAACGCCCGAACCCCTCAGACGACGTCGGAGATATATATTCCTCCATGTCATTCATGCCTTCTAGCCAAACTCGTCCCCTTGTATTCTTCAGCAAACAGGTTTAGAGCTTGTCTAGGATCCCTCCGCTCACCAGACGCGTATCAACCTGGTCCAAGATGCATACTCTTTCACTTCTTGCGCTTGGGGCCTTTGGTCCTTTGATGGCCTCGGCAGCCGAGTGTACCCGCGAATTTCTCAAGACGAGTGCCGAGAGCCTCGTAGCAGCACAGAAGGCGGGCGACCCCAGCCTGCTCAAGCCTGTGTCGGACGCACTCGTTTACAATGAGAACTTTGCGGCGGCCACCTTCAAGTCGGGCATCCTGGCCACGCCCCTCAAGATCGATCATAGCCGGCATAGCCTCGACACGACCCAGTGCGCCACCTACACGGAGTTGATCTCAGCCACGGGCAGCAAGCCGTACGTGCTGGGCGTTCAAATGAACTTCGCGGACAACGCCGTCTCCAAGATGGACACGCTCATCACCACCACCGGCGACTGGTTGTTCAACGCCACCGGCACACTCAACTGGGCCAGTAAGGAGAACTGGGGCACCATCCCTGAGGACAAGCGCGATTCGCGCGCCGTCATCCAAGCCGCTGCCGACGCCTACTGCGACATCTTCAGCAACAAGAGTGTCGTCGTGCCGTGGGGGTATCCCTGTGCCCGCCTCGAGGGTGGCACTTACACTGGCAATGGCGGCCCCAACGACAAGTGCGACGTCGGGATCCCCAGCGGTGTGGCTCTGGTGGACCGGCACTATGTCATTGACGAGACGGTTGGTGCCGTCTCGGTGTTTCTGAGCTTCTCGGGCATCCCAGACAGTCACGAGTTCCGCGTCGAGAACGGCAAACTGCGCTTTGTGCACACCCTGACCGTCATGAGCGCCAGGGGGAACGGCAAGAGCAACGGAAGGAGAAAGCTCAGGGGTGTCATGAGTCCTCCGCCGCAGTGAAGGACGAAATGGCAGAAGGGAAGGGGGAAGGGCCGTAGCGACGCCACTGAGAAAATCATCAAGTTATTCCTGGTAGTACACAAAAAAATGTACACTTGCTAGCAGTACCTCACCCACTTCCATTGAGTATCATAACCTCCGCGGCCGCTACTCCGTAACGAGAATCGCGCTCTCTGTCGCCACCCGTGGCTGAGACTCCTTCATTGCGCTCTTCGGATAGCAGAAGCTGAGGCCCGTCCCCTGAGGGCCATCCGCGTAAACCCACGACACGCCGAGGCAACGACCTCTGGCCGAAGCAGGATACAGGTTCAGCTGGGCGCAGAGATGGATGCAGTCGGCCATCGAGATGACCGGGAACTGGCCCATGTCGCCACTAGGATAGTCGGTTTCGCAAACGCGCCTGAACGTGAGGGTCGTGCCGGGCACCGTGTAGTTGGCTTTGTTGTCTGGGAGCGGGCACTCAGGGATCACGTTTCCCATCGCAACGGCGTTTGTGATGGACTTGTCGGTGGCGAAACAAATCTTGTTCGCCTCGGGCGAGCATGTAGGGACTGTCGTGGCCGATGTTGAGGTGCCGGTCGTGGTGGCACTAATGCTCAGGTTAAATCAGTCATGGGGTGAAAAATAGTTTAATAACACTCACCTGGGGCATGCCCCTTGTGCTTCTAACCCCGTCGAGGTTCCCGCATTGCTTTGCAAAACACGACTCTGTACCACCCCGAGAATGACGAGCCCGATGGCCAACAAGATGTTGCTGGCCGTCAAGAAGAATGTCGTCCTCCTCATTCCGAGTATCCTCGGCTCCGCACCCGGCGTCCTGCTCTCCTGGTTCGCTCCGAGTGGGACCACGACCGGAGACGCTAGCTTGGCTGGCGGTGAAGGGGTTGGAGAGTCTTGCCCGTCTTCGAATCTTTCATGGCTCGTGTTCACCGGCTCGGGAGCATGGTGTTGGTTATACTGCTGAATGTGCTGCAGGTGTGCCGGCTGCAGCATACTCTCGGTCGTGAAATCGACGACTTGGGCTGCCTCGAGGTCCTCCCTGTGCCATCCAACGGCATTTGCCATGGTTGTATCACGTCTACTATGCAGACGCAGAGCTCCTTTAGTCGATGAAAATACTCAAGCCCCGGGCAGAAGGTGAGAGAAATGTTCAGGGGAATGTTGTGCATCTTGGCGGACGGCCTCTTAGCGCCGGTAGGTGAGGCACAGCATTGCAACATCGTGTTCGGTGCCTCTCCCCTAAGCCGCTTTTGGGATGAAGCGAGGTGGGACCCATGCACGTTGGTCTGACAAACCCGCCGTCATCTCTCCCTGCCAGGTCGGTTTGTTCCTGAGGGAATGGCCGGGAGGGGCGGCTGCTGGTCAGCCTGGCTGTATCTAGTTCTACCTTAGAACAATGATACCCTTGTTTGATTGTTTGTTTACAGAACTCTCGTCAGTAAAGAAGAAGAGAAATAGAAAAGATGTAAAAAAAGTAAAATAATAAAAGGAGAATAACAATTACTTATTTCTTTTATCTATTTTCCTTCTCTTTCTCTTTTCCTTCTCCTTCTCTTTTCCTTCTCCTTCTCTTTTCCTTCTCCTTCTCTTTTCCTTCTCATCTCTTTTCTTTCTCTCCTTCCTTTTTCTTTCTCTTTCGTTTTTCTTTCTCTTTCGCTTTTCTTGTCCTCTTTTTCTTCTTTCTCGTTTTATCTTGAGGAAAAGACTCAACTTGGCCAATACCCAAGGTTAAGCACTCTCAAACGAACCAGACGGCGCATACTTGCCTCGCTATCGACGTGTGTACTAACCAATTGCGGTAGGACGAAGAATAATCTTGGCACAATCCTCCGGAGGTTGAGCTCCGTTAAGGGCGTACTGGGTCATTCTCCGTCAACAGCAGTGCGGGGAAGCTCCGTGATCGAGACTTGACATCCCCTCCTTGCCCTCGCCTCTGAATCACGATAAGTAACCATTGGACAAAATCTGGTAAACCACTATCATGGCCGGCCTTCCCCCAGCAGCGCCATCAGGTTTCACCGACCACACCTTCAAATTGGCCTGTGGCACCGAGATAGCGGTGCGGGTGTGGCCTGCCGAAACCCTTGTGCAAAAGCCCGCGCCGTTCATCATATGGTATGTTTAGATATACACGTCATCATCTGTCGGCACGGAGTGCTTTTCAGCACTTCTCTCTTTCTCTCTTTTAATTCACTCTCTTCTAATTACCGTGTATTTCCATCTATCTTCTCTCTTCTATGTTTCTCTCTATCTGTCCTTGATACCCCCAGTACCAGCCGGACCTTATTTGACTTTAGATACTGTAACTAATGACGAGTCAGGACTCATGGCGGTGGATGGTTTGGAGGCTTCCGTATGTCCCTTAGCTACCACCCGCTCCAACTCTACAGAGGATGTTCACTATCAAGGGCAACGATCCCCTCTTTAAGAACATGGACCAAAAGCAACTCCCATGACTAACGCTCGAGACGATTTCGCACCGCTTCCTTGGATGGCGCCTGGCTTCCGGCAGCGGGGATACCATTTTGTTTCCCACAACTATCGGCTTGCCCCGCAAGCTCGAGTCGACGACCAACTAGCTGACTGCCTCAAGGCTGTGTCGTGGTGCCGGGCGAACCTCCCCTCTATTCTTGGGGCTGGTCAAGTCGACGTGGATCGGTATGTTCTCTGCGGAGAGTCCGCCGGAGGTCATCTCGCCACACTAATGGGGCTTCATTTGTTCAATCCGCCCCCTCGAGCCATCGTCGACGTTTATGGCGTCGTGGACTTTCTCTCGATGAAAGCCTTCGGTCCCCCCGACCAACGGCCGAGTAGAGCAACACAGGGGCCGTGGAATGGCAAGTTCTCTGAGGCGACGCTCAACAAGCTGCTACGCGATCGCGACCCAGCAAATGGCCTGACCGACGCACTTCCGTGGGATGAGTTTACACGTTTGACGGAAACATGGATCAGCGAACGCTGGGCTACCGAGTTCCGGTACACGGACAGGGTGCTGATGCAGGCCGAGCTGCATATGATGCACTCGCTGTCGCGGTCTGCTGACGGCTTGCATGTTGGTATCATGCACCGCGAACGGTTTCCCAGCGAGGAGTTGTTTATGGCCTTTGTCCGGTCCATGTCCCCCCTCAGAGTTCTGCAGCAGCGAGTCACGCAAGGCAGAAGGGGGCTCGATCTGTACCCCCCTACGGCGTTCCTGCATGGCACCGCGGATGTGGACGTCCCCGTCGAGCAAAGCTACGCCATGGCCGGCGTGCTTAAGGAGGCCGGAGTTCCGGTGGTCGAGTGTTACGAGGAGGGCGGACTGCATGTGTTTGACATGAAGTACAGTGTAAGGGTTTGCTAGCCTGGTTCGAGATATTCATACTGACATCGCGCTTC